CCACTAGCGGCGCAAACTCCCCCACCAGCTACCATAGAGTCTCCCTCGGGCACCAGAGCGCCCCTTCCACAGAGACGTCTCATTGCATGCTAGAGCGTAGCACTGCAGAGCAGCGCGCCCCCTACTGTGGTGGAGGTCACCCGGGCTAGAGGCAGCAGAAACACCAATTTGGGGCTTTTTTTGGGTGGAAAAAGCTCTTGTTGGGAACCTGCTGCTGAGTCACACAGGATCCCACAGAGTCACACAGGATCCCACAGAGTCACACAGGATCCCACAGAGTCACACAGGATCCCACAGAGTCACACAGGATCCCACAGAGTCACACAGGATCCCACAGAGTCACACAGGATCCCACAGAGTCACACAGGATCCCACAGAGTCACACAGGATCCCACAGAGTCACACAGGATCCCACAGAGTCACACAGGATCCCACAGAGTCACAGAACGTCGGGGACTGGAAGGGACCTCTAAAGATCACCCAGTCCAACCCCCCTGCCAGAGCAGGATCACCTACAGCAGGTCACACAGGAACACATCCAGGTGGGTTTGAACATCTCCAGAGATGGAGATTCCACACCCTCTCTGGGCAGCTTGTCCCAGTGTCCTGTCACTCTCACACTGAAAATGTTTTTCCTTAGGTTTACATGGAACCTCCCATGCTCCAGCTCACACCCGTTACCCCTTGTCCTACTGTTGGGCATCACTGAGAAGAGCCTGGCTCCATCCTCCTGACATTCCTACAGCTCACAGGAAAGCAGCAGCTCTGCTTCTGGCCAACACGGACCATCTCCCTTCCATTCTCCCTGGAAGTGTTCAAGGCCAGGTTGGATGAGGCTTTGAGCAACCTGGTCTAGTGGAAGGTGTCCCTGCTGCTGGCAGGGGGGTTGGGACTGGATGAGCTTTAAGGTCCCTTCCAATCCAAACCATTCCCTGATTCTATGATCTCACCCCTACACCACCTGCCAGAGGCACCCAGCAGCACCCAGTTACTCACAGCAATAACCCACAACCACGAGAGAGCAACTTCAGTTCCAAGGTGACTTTGGTTTTACCAGAGATACAACACCACCACAGGTTATTTATTCAGTTTCAAATCCGTAAGGGAGAATAACCCTTAGCTCAGGTGCAGGTAACGATGTTGTTTCCCTGAGACAGCAAATGCTGAGCTACAACCTGCTCCCAACACCCAGAGCAGATTCCCAGCACCCAGCATGAGTGTTGCAGGGTGACACCTTTATCCCCAGGAGTCAGCCTGGCTGCAGACACAGGATTCTTCCTCTCTAGTTCAACCAGGGAGTTTTCCTTGAGTTCCTTTTGGATTCAGAGCCACATTTCTCCAAGAAGCCTCAGGAAGAGCTTTTTTTAATGAGTCAAATTCTTCTCAGCCTTCCCAGGGTGTCGGCAGCTGTAACAAGTGAAGGAACAGAGCTGCTCCTGCACCTCCTGGGATCCCCAGGGAGGTCACAACCCCACTTCACACACACCCAGCAGCTGTATTAATTGAATTACCTAAAGCAGATAACCAGAGCAAGCTCCTCCTGTGTTCACCTTCCTTAAAGACACAGCTCCCACCACAAGCTCCACCATTCAGGTTAGATTTTTTTTTTAAGAATCATTTCTCCCCTAGTCTATGTCAAGTTTTTAAAACAGCTGAAGCATGAAACTGTTGGGGAGAGGGGGAAAGAAATGGAACAGGGCTGTAAATTTTGTGTAAAGTGAGGATTTGATGAGGCACATGGATAGTGTGAGCTTGGAAGCAGCTCTTCTTGGTGAAAGGAGAAAAATTCAGGTGATATGGTGATTGTGTATTTACTGGTAATTTATTTATGTAAATACAATTAATTCCCTTCTAAGCACACTCACCCCATCACCTTTTCCACATATTTTCAGGTGGGAAATAAAAAAAAAAAGACAACTTAGTATTTTCAACAACAGGATGTGGGGAAAAAACACCACTTTGGCAGCCTGTCTGGAAGTATTTGCTTGACTAGGACAGTGCTTGTTGGGATTTTTGCACAGATCAGAGCTGCTCAAGGACATTTTCTCTCACCCAGCTGAATTCATGTTAGTTTTTCTCCCCTCCCACCATCATTTCATAGTCCCCAGTGGGTGCTCCCTGGGATATATACCCTGGGATATCACCCTCTTCAACCAATAGATCAACTCACCCAAAGACTTCCCCAGAATATGAGGAAATAAATAAATAAAAACCCTAAAGCCACCAGTTTATTTAGAGAAATCTTTTCTTTAATGGTCAGTCTGGAACGTTCTGATGGACGCAGACTCGAACCGCAGAGGACAGTGTGATGGAAACCGCAGCCAGGACCACAAGTTGTCACATAGCAAAGAGGATAAGGAATGCCACCATCAAACAGAAGAGCCCCATGGCCTCGGACAGGGCAAAGCCCAGGATGGCATAAGAGAAGAGCTGCTGCTTGAGAGATGGATTCCTGTGTGTTGGATAAGGTGGGGAACAAACCAGAGAGAGAAGGGAGGGAAGGGAAAAAAAAAAAAAGGATCCACAGTAAGAAAAAAATCCCCAAACCAGAGTCTGGATCACAGAAAACCAGGATTAGGGCACATTATGAACAGATTTTGGAGCACAAACTGGTTTTATGGCAGAAAATCACAAACTGGAATGAGAAAGCCGTGATTTTTCCCTGATTTTAGGGATGTGGAGATGTTGTACCCTGAATGTTGTTAGTTTCACCTGCTCTGGTGGTACCAAGTAACAGTTCTTGCTGCCAACCA